AGTTTTGAGGAAGAAAAGAGTCAAAAACAAACTAAATATTGAGAGCAAAGCATTTTGAGACTCAAAAAAAATGAGTTCAACTAATGGTGGTTTTCAGCAGTGAGAAATGGGTGAAGAGGGCGCGATAATCAAGCCCCCATGTTTCCAGAGCAACAGATGGATAAACCAGGATACCAAGAGGAAGAAGTCGAGGATGGAGAACTGTGACCCCGAGGGATGGGGTTGCAGGGTTCACTGCTTGGCTGGGAAAAGATACAACCCCACCCCCTCCTCCCCAATCCGTGCTGGTCATATGACACCAACAAATCAACAGGCCTCAGACTGACTGTAAATAAACAGAACAAGAGAAAAAGGACAACGAAGCAATTTAAGTATATCAATGGAGTAAGAAAAAAAAGAATCCAAGGCTTTGCTTTGCAATTGCTAAGGTATGCCAAATGTTTTTAGCATGTTATGTGGAAAAGTTGAATATGTTTGAAAAGACTGTAAGTTGTCTGAACAACAAGACCAATTTACACTTGGCCAAATCACGTTCTGTATGCATCTTAAACCACCTTCTGAGTGACCGAATGCATCTCAAATGTGTTTTACAGGCTTGGTCACATTCTCAGATCAGGAAAAGACTAATTGTATATACTCAAATAAGGCATTGGTTTAATTATTTAAGTCAGCCCTGTGTTTAATTTGTGTTTGTGGGTAAGCTGCCCTGCTATTTTTGTTCTAATGAGTCAAACAGTAGGAATCCTACATTGTCAAGTAACTTTGAAAACTGTACCACATCATCTTCAAACAAATTTCTAAATAGACCAAGAAATGTCTATGGGTACTTTTAAAACTTGTGTTTACCCCAAAAGCAAAATAAAAGTAATTGCCGTTTGTGGTGCAAAATCCCTTTTTGAAGTTTTATTATTAAGCATTAAAAAACATACATTTTTTTTGGGTGGTCAATTCCTCCAAACCCACAGGGTATTGCGAAAGAAAAACTCTGCAGAGGGACCACTTAATCCAGAGCTAAGACTCCAGAGAACACATTATGCAGCAACACGGCTGTTTTCCTACTGAAAGAGGACATGAAAGCTTCCCCCCTGTTCACTCCTGTTGGATTCACTCTGCAAGTACTGATGAATCCTCATGCTGGTCGATTGTACTTCTCATTTGCTTGAGTGACCTTTATCATGAGCTCAAGGGCATATACAGTAAAAAGCCTAGTGAGGCACTTCTTACAGAGGATCGTCATTCTTAGCCTCCAGTTAACAAATATAAACATGATTATCTGAAAGCGCCATTATCAGATCTATATCGAGCTGTTATGTAAGCTATTCTAGGGATATCTCAGAAAATATATTTTAAGAGACTTCCTCTATCTCACGTGAATTGCCAGACACTGTTCTTGGCTCATCTGATAGCCAGACACAATTGCATAGCATGCCAAGTAACTGTCAATTAGCGCAGCTGGTATTTTACACTAAATACCAACTCAACAACAACTTTTAAGAGCAATTCCTCTCCAAGAACAAACTAACCATGACGGATATAGTGGGATAAACTGATGTAGCCAACTCTCCCCTGGATTCAAACGACCATTGTTTCCTAATTTCTTCTAACCTCTCCGGAATTCCTCCACCAGGAAATGTACTTTACAAAAGAGGGCAAAGAACCCGGGCTCTCACGTCACAGTCCCTCTCCTGGCAATACCTCCAGGCCGGTTCCACCGGAGAGCCATATTGTCTGGAAGTGACCCCCTTCATCTAATTCTCACAAACACAAAATGCCCTCTGTTCAGCATGGCACCAGTCCTCTGGGCACTCCGGGCCATGAAACACCACCCCCCAACAGCCATTGTCCCATACCACGGCCTGTTGTTATCATCTAACTTCAATTCTGCACAGGCTTCCTTTAGCCCCCAATCACTGCCCCTTTTTTTTTTTGGTCTAGACATTGAGGAATTCTGGTTAAGCCACATGGGCATTTCTGAGCAAGATGATTGGTTAAAAGTGATCAGTCACAGACCTGCAGTGGCACCCATGGAGGCTTTGATCCTTGAGAGCATGTGGATGATATTTCCCAGTGACTTGATAAAGTTTCCTCCTTAACCTCCTAATCACATACGGGGGTACAACAGCAAGCTTTCATCATCAAAAGAAGTACCTTTTCACCTCTGAAGAAATCGTGTTTAGCGCTGGCAATAAAACAAACTGAAATGTTTGGCTGGAATAATTCTATAGCTCTGTCTCACAAATACGATCTCCACAGGCTAATGATTTATTTAATTGGATCAAAATGGTCTGAATAGAGAGATTTCATTTAGTCTGAATGAATTTGAGAACTGCTTGTCTGCTGTCTCCAGATGGGGAATGTAAGCATGTGAATGTGCATGAAGGGTGGGGAAACACAGGTCATTGCTACATATCAATCATAAGGATGTTTCATCTGGTGGTTCAACTTGAATCTTTTCAGACTTATGAAAACTAAATTTCATGCTCTCTTTGCTTTCTTCAGTTTTAGATCAACATCTAGCTGTGCCTGACTGTAAAAACTATGCATTACATAAACAAAAAACTTATTTTCCCTTGTCAGGCCAAAGGGCTTACTGTATTCTGTTCCTCCAGTAGAGGCAGAAATTATATTAGTTGGTACAGTCCCACAGAGTGCCAGTCTGAGGTTTTCATTTTCAGTCCACCTGCTTTGCTTCAGTTCTTGGCTCAGACTCAAAAGCATTTACCTACTCTGCTCACTAAGCCTGAGCAAATCATGGACAGATGCATCCCTGCTAGAGACATCCAGTATGGAGATTATAATCATGCATAATGTTTACATTTTCCTGATTAACATAAAAATCTTTCCATTTTATTGTGATTTTCATCTGCAAGTTTCAGTACTGGATATCTCAGTTGCGACTCCTCAATGGAGACTTCTACTCAAGTCTTCGACTTCTGAGATGTTTCTCCTGTGAAAAAGACCTTAATCTCTCCGCCATCTTGTTTTCGAGTTTCAGAAAGAGTTCTCAATAACGTCTCAATTTTGCTATCAAAACTCAAAAGAAGTCAGCGCCGTCCACAGTATATGCTTACTACATGTGAACATTTCCCTGATAGCACACGTACATCACGGAGACGTCTATTTGACGTATTTTTTAGAGTGTTTGCTCATCTGCAATACATTTATAGGACGTTTCCTAGATGTCAAATAGACATTTAGAAAATGGTTTAAGATGTTTTTTTAGAATGTAGGCCTATGTAAAACTGACATCTTAGAGACGTCTATCAGATGTTTGTACACAGTAGATGCAATCTTTAACAGACGTCTTGCAGACATATGTGTGCTATCTGGGTTGTGTCTCCTTTGTGTCGATTTTAATTTTAGGAGAAACATCTATGGCGAAACTGATATGTACAAATAAGCAACTGAGAGTCTCCTGAGCTATAAAACCTCTGAGCAATGAACCTTTTCTCTGTGAATCCAAACATTGACTGCGTTCTTAGGGTCAACAGGAACTGGAGAGAAGCACTCCAACGCAGGGGGGGGACAAGGGGCACACATTAAATTGAGACATTTGACACATGAGAAATGTGCTTTTTCTTCTTAGATAGAGTTACAAATCAAAGCGATCAGCGGGACTGACAGGCATGGCACGGTCTGGGTTTCGAGGTTCACCGCTAGACCTCTGATGCTGCAGTACAGCCCATTTACACCACAAACGAGCGACACAACAACAAAATAGACCGCGCCCATTCAGGATGACAATTATGCGGGTCTGATGACTTGTCCAAATCAATAACTTAAAAGCATATATATATATATATTACTTACTTTTACTTTACTTTTTACTTTTAGTCATTTAGCAGACGCTTTTATCCAAAGCGACTTACAAATAAGAAAAAGTTATTAAAATTAAAAGCTAAAACTCTATAAATACTACATATATACACATTTAAGAAAATAAAATAAATTAAATAAAAATGACAAATGCATACAACAACATTTCAAAACTAAACATTTCAACGAAAACAAAAAATAAAGCTAAAAACAATTCAAAATATTAAAAGAACAAAAGGTATGAGTATAATAATGATTCTAACATAACACTAAGCCAAACACCAAAAAACAACTACATATGTGTATGTACAGCCACACACACATACATATACATATATATAAATACATTCAATATATATATTATTTCATTTCCATTTTGTATGTTGAAGTACTGAAATAACTCAAATTAAATAAAACTAAAACTTAATAAAAAACATATAAAGACAGAATAAAAAAAACTAATAAAATGACATTACTACAACTGTAACTAAAACTAAAATAGATAACTAATACAAATCAAACTACATTAGTTTATCAGTAATCCTAAAAAAATAACACTGAGCCAAACACACATGCTAAAATAACAACAACTTTTACTGACATATAGTAAGAAATGGTTCTAAAAAACTGAAACAGAAGTGAAACAAGTAGTAGGATATATATATAAAAACATATTTTAGCAAATAAGCATTCATAAGTTTAAACCAACATTTAAATTATTTAAAAGTATTTTCACATTTCGCCAAAAAGACGCTAACCTGATGGTGTAACCATAGCAACAGTAGGCTACGCCTCGCACGCTTAGTATCATCTATTAAAAAAAATAAAAGTTATTTTTTTTCTTTAAAAAGTATTTGAGATAACTGGCGTTTAGCAAACTGTGCAAATGGTAATAGGTGCCCGATAGAAACACCTTTAAAACCTCTGCATAATTCGCACACTCGCTTCTATTAGAATCAAATAAGCTGTCTACTGTAAGTGTACACAGTTTAACTTTCATCACACCCTTCAGCGAGAACTGACTGTGCGAACGCTCCGAGAGACTCACAGATGTGCGCGCTTGTAGCCTACGTTCATTAGGAGCGTTCATTAGGCCAGCCGTATGGATGGGCAATTGCTTCCTGATCTACCTGGGCTACAAATATGATATTATCCAATGAAACAATTACCCAAGTCGCACTCACCGAGAGAAACTCCAGCGTCCCAACATAATCCCGTTCGGTCTTCAGAAGTTCGTTCAAAACACAAACTCGCAAACGGAGCTGTTTCTCTAAATCTTTCCCACTTTGGGCACTGTGGTCGGCTTTGCTCTCCTCAGTCATTTCGATGGTCTTCTTGAGAGTCTTCAAAGTTGCAAGAGCAGAAGTTTAAACGAATTGACGCCGGCTGGAGGATTGAAACATGATGGGGAAAGCAGCGGACAAGTTCGGTAGAATGAATTTGAAAACAATCTACGAATCGGCTGCATTCAGAAGCAGCATCAAAGTTCAGCACTACTCTACACGCCTGAGAAAAGTGTAGTAATGGCTCTTGGACATCAATCAAAAACTTTGCTCCATGTGACTCCCAAGACCTTCATCCCAAATCCAGCCTCCCTCCAGCATGAAAAGGACAGGAAATAAACGGCTGGGAATTCGTGCCAGCACAGTGGGGAAATGTTGATGACATTGGGGGTAATTACAATGCAAGCTTTTCCCAGACTCCTATATTAGTTACATTACTTTGAAAAGCTGAATGGCATTAAAGAGAAGAGTAGAGGGGGGGGGGGTTAAAATGCTTCACAGATTATTCAATATTTGGATTTTTTTTTTTCACATCTGTAATACTAATTATAGCTAAGGCTATATGTGAGAAACTCTGTATAGTCCTAAATACATTAGCTAAGAAATGTTGTTTTTAAATTATGAGGGTTTTTTGCAGCACAAAAGTAAAGGAATGGAGCTTATTCAGCTGTTCAGTTCTTTTTACTTTAACATAAGCAAATAATTAATCCGTCTCCTGTTTTACTGAAATCATTAAAGCGTTAGAAAGAGAGAAGAAGAAAAAGGTAGAAAGAAAAAATCTTTATGAGCATCATCAGACCTTATATTTTCCCATTTGGGAAGATAAAAATTTAGCCTTCAGTGTAAAAATGTTTTTACAGTGGTGGTTATTGTGGTGCATGGAAAATACGATTTCAGTTTTCAAAAAATCAAAAATTTACATGTTTGATTCAATGTGCTACTTGCCATTTCTTTGTAATTATGAAATTTACTTGCAACTTCTGAGTGAAAATTGTTTTTTCCCCCACTGTAGTTAAATCTATTAGAAACAACTAATCCCATGATTTTCTTGTTATATAAATCAAGAAAACCGCCCAAAAAATCTATAAAGATTTTGTCAATTTGTTTAAATGAATTGGTTATAATTAAGTCAAAAATATTATTTAATATTGCCGATACAACCGAATTATATTCATTTATACGACAAAACATTATATGGGTTAAATATAAGGTAGAAATATCTTAAATAATTAGTTCACTTCCAGAATAAAATCCAATCCAAGATATTCATGTCTTTCTTTCTTATGTCGCAAAGAAATTAAGGTTTTTGAGGAAAACATTTCAGGATTTGTAATGTTTTTAAAGGAGACATATTATGCCCCTTTTTACAAAATGTAATATAAGTCTCTGGTGTCCCCAGAATGTGTCTGTGAAGTTTCAGCTCAAAATACCCCACAGATAATTTATTATATCATTTTGAAAATGCCTATTTTGAGTGGAAGCAGAAACACACTGTTTTTAGGGCCTGTCTCTTTAAATGCAAATGAGCTGCTGTTCCCCCTTTTCCAGAATAGGGCTGCGCCATTACAGCTCCTACCTGCTAAAAACATCTGTTTTGGTTCTGATTATCATGTTTATCGTTATGTCTGTGAAGGTAAACAGCTGGGAAATAAATCGCATGTTTATTTTAGATCTGTGTGGCTGCAGCAATATACAGTAAATAAATCAATAAATCCACTGCTCTCTTGTCTCCTCTGAGGCTGGGACTGTAAGTAGGGTTCTGTGCTCGTCTGTGCAGCCAAAGACAGAACAGTTAAGAAGTTTTGCTCAAACTTTAGTCCATGGCATTAGAGTTAGTACACCGTTGTCACTTGCGAAAACACAATAATTGTGCCGTGAGTGTAAATTTACAGATTAAGGTGCGGTAATATTATAATGATATCCCTTTGCCACGTCACCAAGGGAGCGAAATCAGACGCTTGCAGAAAAAGGCTTCCCAAAACAAAGCTACTGGGTTAATCTTTTTTTGCGTTTCCTTGGTTGGTAGATGCACTGGGGACCTGATTATAGCACTTAAAACCTGGAAAAGTCTGATTTTCATGATATGTCACCTTTAAAATAAATTTTTAAAATATAATGGACTTCAATGGTGGCCAACGGGCTGAAGGTCCAAATTTCAGTTTCAATACAGCTTCAAAGGGCTCTACAGGATCCCAGCCGAGGAATAAGGGTCTTATCTAGCCAAACCATTGGTCATTTTCTAAAAAATACTTTTTAACCACAAATGCTCATCTTGCAGTTGTTTCTTTGCAACTGAAGAAAGAAAGACATGCATGAACATCTTGGATGACATGGGGTGAGTAAATTATCAGGAACTTTGTATTCTGAAAGTGAACTAATCCTTTAAACCACCAATTGCAGGTTATCATTTTTGCAGTGTGATTGTGCTGCCAAATTGACAGTACCAATATATATTCAGTTACAAAAAAATCTAAATTGCATGCATTATTTTTATTATATAGTTTCCCTGCCAAACATTTTTTTATTTCTCCAAGCTGTGCCCTTTCTGCTCAGCTCAACAGGATAATATTTGACTCTCAAGCAAGGAGATCTCTGAAATGTGGCCTGTGCTCTTGTATTCTCAGTACCAGTCTGCTTATTTCCCTCTGCGGACCGAGTGTTTGCCCTGTGAAGTGTCTGCCAAATTGAAATAGCTCAATAAAATTTGATCAGCCGAGCAAAATATTTAATATCGCCCAGTTATTGACTCACTGAACACAGTATCCTCTGGAGGAGCTCTGCTGTGGTCAAATTAGAGACCTTCTACTAGCCTGGATTAAAATGTTATGACATGAACTGAGAAATGTTTAGTTTATGAAGACATGGGGTGTAGCATCAGAACTGAGGGAGTGAGAAGATGTGACACTTCTTTATTACTATCAGACACTGCCCTCTAGTGTTAGACAATTACATCTAATAGACATAGACTTGTATTGTACAAATAAGTTCTCTCTCTCTCTCTCTCTCTCTCACACACACACACACACACACACACACACACATATATATATATATATATATATATATATATATATAGTAAACAGTAACAATTGTTATTATTATTATTATTAAATTTGGTTAATTATAGCAATACATATTCAGACCCCAACTGCTAATATGTACAGTTCATTCCTATTAATTAGTACCAGAAGTAAAATCATATCTTTCATGCTTTTCTTTATATATACGTTTTTTTATTATTATTATTATTTACATTTATTCATGCTTTTACAGAATCTTCAGCTACAGCATGGCAATGTATACAGTGGCTCCAAAATGTATTTGGAAACTTAATCCAACCTGAAATTTTTTTTATAGAACATCAAACTCTTATCAAACAGCATTCATCGAACTGCACTCACAAGTAGCATTGATGGTCCAAACACACAGTCCCCACAAACAATGACATGCTAAATAATGTCCAAATGAAAATGCAGGGTTTCATTGAGGGTTAATGGAATGAAAATCTCATTAGCTGTGTATAAAAACAACTGAAGTCAATAGAGAGTCCCTACCATAACAGAAAAACAAACGTGTGCGTGCGTTCAAGTGGTCAGAAATATGAATATATATTTTCTACTGAATCAGATCAACCAAGGTTTATTATCTTATGTTAGCCTTTAAAATAATAAGAATAATAATTAATGCTGTCAAATCGATTAATCGCATCCAAAATAAAAGTTTGTTTACATAATATATGTGTGTGTACTGTGTATATGTATATGTATTATATGTATATATTTAAGAAATAAACAGGTATGTAACATATTTATACATATTTTATAAATCATATATAAATATGAATATATATATATATATATATATATATATATACATGTACATATTTCTTAAATATATATAAAAAAATATACACATGTATGTGTATTATTTATGTGTATGTGTATTTATATATTCATATTAATATACACAGTACACACACACATATATTATGTAAACTCAAACTTTTATTTTGGATGCGATTAATTGCAATTAATCGATTTGACAGCACTAATAATAATATATATAGTAAAGTATCATGATAAATTCTTACACAAATTCTCTCAAACAAATTCTCTTTTTTCTTTGAATAACAGAGAATGACAGAATCACATTTCCCTTTGAAATAATGCCCTTATTTTACATTTAACACAACCCCATCTCCAGCATCTGCAGATATCTGAAGAAGAATTTATCTGACCCATGGCTGTGAAGAAAACAATTTTCAGGGCTTTGACAGATAAAGTACTATATAAATATGGGCATGTTTCTTCAAATTCATATTTCTCTGTCTCAGTTCACGTCACCCCACATGTTATTCCAGTAGTCTGAGGGCACGTTTAACACACTAAATATCTTCAGTCACGCACAAGACTGATGCCACTTATTTAACAAGAGCTCAGTAAATCTCCCTCCCTGCCTGAGAAAAGGAAGTGTGATCTTGTTACTTATTTAATATACACATCTGTAAGTTGAATCTTTGAAGTATCTCAGAATTACACTCCGAATCCAATACAGGTGTCTGAAATAAAATAACACACGGTTACTATAGTTCCTGCAGGTCATAACAAATATGTATGTAAGTATGGATTCAATTGGAGGCAAAAACAACAGTAGGAAAACCAGGTCTTGAACAAATATAGCCCAACTAATGCTTGTGGAACAAAACAAGGTGAAGTTTTACAGTAGCCTATACTGGTTGCTAGGGTGTTCTGAGTGGTTGCTAGGTGGTTTCCTACTGGCCCAAGTCAAAAGCACCTTTAAGTCTGTATGATAGGTCATAAGCAGCCATTTTTTTAAATTCTCGTCACTTTGGCTCAGTTAGGTCAGATTTTTACTTACTCTGCCAAAATGTATGTATGTATGTATGTATGTATTAGTTTGTTTGTTTATTTGCTGGCAATGCTATTTATATTTGCTAGAAATATTTATATTTATATTTTCCATAATTTTTTAATGGTACGTTCTTGTTCACATTGTTTGCCAAAAGTAATTTTGGAACAACATACGATGCAAAACATTATAATTTGTAGTTTTCAACACATTGCTATTGTGTCTCTTAAGTCATTTTTGCATTATCCTGGTGACAAATTAATATCAACAGAATTTGCAACAACAATATGCAATATAATCACATGCAAACAAAATGGTTTGTGAGGTGCATATATTATCACTCCAGCCAAGATATGAATCAGGATATGCCCAATGGTGGGAATTAAATATGTTATATAGAGGGTCCAAACATGTAACTTTCCTATATAGAGCCTAAAGAATTATTGTGAAATGGTGTGGTGTTTC